TAATAGTCTCTTAATTGAAACGTTTCAAACAAAAACTTTACATTAACGTACGTCAGATAGGGAAAGTTCTACTAATGAAACGGAAGTATTAACAATTTTATATAAGTACTTGAACTTAATCGTGTTAAAACATTTTAGAATCGCTTTGCTAAGGCGCTCCCTAAGATCTGCCGCGGGTTTGTAAAATTATGGCGAAAACATAAGCGACGTTCAAACGCTATTACAGCCTGCTCATTTCCTCTTTTTCGCAAAAATTGTGTTATGTGAAAGAACTAGGTGAATTTACCAATTGAATTCGGTGTGTGTTCCGGATTTTTATGCCGTTATTTAGATCAATCGGCAAAAGAGTAAGTTAGTTAATACGCAATATGTCAAGTCGATGTTATGCAAGCTATGCGAACTCATTATATCTTCCAATTTTAGGTTTGAAAAAGTGATAATTACAACAAAAAAATGTTTGTTGTTATACCAAACAGTAAGAAAAACAACTTGGAACCAGCCTATTAAATGTTTGCAGAAGAGCGGCAATTATTATAGAAGTATGTGATTAAAACCGCTCAAAATAAAGAATTGGAAGCGAGATTCTGTAGGGCGTTTTTCTTGCAAAACAGCGCAATTACATTAGACTGTTTCGCATTTGTAAAAACTATTAACTATTATATTGCTCTCGCGAAAAAGAGACATTCAGTTCATGTTCAGATTTTTGTTCCAAATGCTTTCTAATGCCCCCTAAAACCTTTCCTTAAGCACCTGAATACAGTCCCATTATGTGTTCGACTGTGAAGAAGGTGAGCATTCTATGTAGAGTTGTTTTATCCCCTATTACGCAATAAATACAGGTGGGAGGATGGAACATACACATCGTCAATTTTTTTTTCTGGGTAGGGGGTGTTGAGTTGGAAATTGTCCGATCCTCCTCCAGGCTAACACGCAATATTGTAGTCCTACGGATACTATCACCCATACGGTAAACGCTTGTTAGGGCCGCAACTTCCATAAATACATATAAAAACGGACATATTCAGGGACTATTAATTTTCATAATCATGACTATTAGCAAAAAAATTTCAAATTGTTTACCAGGAAAAAGACGCCAATCTGTTTCGAAATTCGTATCTCCTGCACAAATTGAAAGAAAAACTTTTGAACATTTTAATTGGAAAGAGCAAAGTCCGTTTTATAATTTCTGAAAGTTTCAGTAAGCCCTCGTCATCATCAGGAATATTAGAGGAATGTTTGCAAACTGTTTAAAAATTCGTGTTTTCAGMGCAAATTGAGAGARAAACTTGAACATTTTTTTAATTGAAAAAAGCTAAGTAAATTTTATAATTTTGAAAGTTTAAGTCCCCTGTGCTTATCAACAGGGTTCGCAGAAAAACACTTTAATACTGATTAGATTTTCCAAAATAAAAATGTCATTCTGTTTAAAAATTCGAWACACAAATTGCGAAATATATTTGGAGAAAATTTGTTGGAAAGACAAAATTTAATTCATAAATCCTGAAACATTCAGTTCATCCACGGTCGCTATCAGGAATTTTAAGTAAACACTATATAAGTATAAATTTAGGACATTTTTTTATTGGAAACAGCAAAGTCTATTTTGTAAATCCTGAAAGTYTTTCCCAACAACACACATTAGTGCAAAATTTCATTGTAAAGGGCGAAACTCATTTTATAAATCTTAAAGCTTCAATTTKCCCCCGTTATTATAAARAAAACTTTAGGGGGAACTGTTTAAAAAAATCCTATCTTAATCACAAATTCAGAGAGAAACTTGGAAAAATGTTCATTGGAACAAGCAAAGTTTATTTTATAAATCCTAAKTACTCTATTGTGATCAACAGGGAYATTCAAAGAATTTTGAAAACTGATTAGTTTTGCCCCCGAGRAAAAGTTTCCGTTTGTCGGAGTCTTTAATTGGCGTTGCTCCAAATTTTCCCAGACATGYGAGAATCTGAGTTTTGTTCAAAGTATCGATAAGTTGGGGGATCTTGGTTATATACCTACTACCAAATCAAAGCAGCATGTGTGGTCTTCGTTCAGCAATCCTGATTGCCCTATTTCTCTTTTGTTCCAAGTGTTCCTTAAGAAGMAGTTWTCGATTCCTGGTTCCTCCAAGTTATTATTACTGTACTGCGTTCCCGCAAACAAACATGCCTCTAAAAGCTACAAGGTCTTTTTTATTAGTAAAAGCAAAGTTTTTTTTAAATGAAAACCTTATCCCTGATATGTCTGTCGATCATTTTTTTCGGAATTTTAAAGATAGGCAATGTTGCATTTTAATTTACCTTCTAAGAAACAGTTATCAGCTAAAAAAAGCTTAAATAATTTGTTTAAATTAGTTCTTTATTTTCAAAAACATTCAATAACTATTAGTACTATYACTATTACAAACAATCTAAAATAATATTAAATTAACGATATTTAATAGRAATGATGATGTACCCACRGCCAACCAATTAGATCTCATTAATTCAATTACGTTACCATATTGCAAAAAATCGTGAGAACTGAAATTTACGTGCCAATACTATTTAATAGTCTACTACCAGACACATTAAATATTTTGCAATTGGATGCATTCATTCATCGGCGTTTTCTCATAAATATTTTTTAAGTTTGGCTATTAGCTAGTAACCTGCCCAGCGTGCCGTTACAAATCTGATCAATGAAAAATCGCAAACCGTATAATGTAAATTATGATAATAACATGCTAACAAACATCCATTTATATAAAAGTTTTTAAATCATTTCCCGACCTATTAATATTTTTTTCGTTGAAGTTTAAACAATACATTATTCCCGCACTGTTTTAAAATTTACGCATCATGAAAATAACATGTAATGCCATAATTAGTGGTTTCTATCCGCATTGTATACGTACCCAACACATAATTGAGGATGTAGATTTGCAGTATATTCACGTATATGGAACAATTAGTAAATAGCTGGTAAATCTTTATGTAGGTAATTCTACAATAGTTAAGGCAACACGAATTTTGTTTAAAGTGTGTACATTTCTTGATAAAATCGAAGTAGCAAATGAAAGTTATAAAATTAAAAGCATATAACTAAATTCTATAATACACTAATCTGATGATACAGTTTAAAGCACGCATGCAGTTAAATGGTGCTTTTTACTTAAGACAGTAAACAATTAACTTTGTTATCGCATTCTTTTGAAGTAGGTTTGTTTAAATGCATCACAAATAATAATTTTAATTGCTTTTTCCTTTACTACAACAAAGTATCAGCTCTACAGTTTCATTCGTCGATGTCTCGTCTTGCAATCCCAAGATAATTTTCAACTTTTGTGATTTTTAAAAATTAAGCATTGTTACGTTTTTCTTGTCATTTGTTTCCTTTATTCTTTTAATGCAGCAACATTGAAGGGAATGATTTTGGTATTTTGTCTACAGAATTATACTTACATTTGATACAAGTATAGTTTGTCTCTGCCTGTTAACTATGAACTAAGATCTGCTGGATCTTATTTAGATTGTGTCGGATTCGAAAGTGGATTTATTGGGTTTTGATTTTTAAAACTCAAACTTCCTTACAATTTTTATATCGAAAACGAAATCTTTACTTAACTTGTACGCTTTTTGAGCTCAATGCATCGTTTCCAGCCCAAAAAGAAATTCAATTTGGATGTATAAAAGCTATTGCGGACAAAAACCGATGTAAAGATAATTTTCAATAAGTTTGAAATAGAAGGGTATAGCTTGAAAAATTCAGAATTTGTTAGATCTTTTTGCACTTTTGGTTTCACATTTTGTATTACAACACTTGTTTTAATGTTTATTATTTTAATATTATTTATGAGGATGTATTTGCGATTGTACTTTTTCTAAATATAGTTCTTCTAATTCTAGTTAGTTCGGACAAAATGTTTTCGACACGTTCGACTGTGATAGTCACAGTTAATTTATCCTGTAAATTTTAGGGTTTAATGATGATTTCTATGATTATATTTTCTTTTTCATTATTATTACCTATATGTCAAAAGAAATTCCTTCGTTCCAGTCAATTTTATTGTTTACCATTTAAAATGTTATAAAAACGTTTCAGTGTTTTTCTCCACCATCAACAGTTTGTATGTATGGTTGTTTCTACCTTAACATTTGGCAAGCCATTGAGTGGCAAATGTTTATTTGTACATAAGACAAAATATTTTTACTTTTCCTTCTCTTCTACGTTTTCACTTTAGTAGATATGTTCGGTTGACTCTGCGTCTTATTATAAGTCAAGAGAAAAAATTTTAGCAGCGGTTTTATTTCCTTACTTTTATTTGCAAATTTTAAATTAATACCTCTGTTGTAAAAACCCGAAACGTGTAATCTGGATATTTGCAATCTAATTGAATAAAAAGATTCTTAAATATCCATCAATAACCATCAACAGCAAAATACAAAAAATATAATTTAATGTTATGCCTAAATTGGAACACTCATGAGCAAGAGAACAAATATAACTTAATCAAACCTCTTCCTATAACCATTGAAGAGCAGAACAATCATCTTAAGACAATTCAAGAGAACACTTAACTGCAAGCGTCCGTTTCTGGGAACTGAGATGTAATATGAGAAGAAGCAATTATGCAAAACCAACTTCGACTGTATTGCTGCAATGATCTATTTTAAGTGGTATTTGATCAATACTAGAAAAGTAACTATTTTCTCAATTAACCTATTATTAAATCATTCGATGATCATGTGCAATGCTATAGGGGCCGTGAAGTTAAGAAAAATCCGCGCGTGGGATTGAACTAGAGTAAAAGCGTTGCTTCATCAAGATCTTCACAATAGATTGCCAAATATCAGAAAACGTATATAAACCAAATAATTTTTTGCGTTCCCACACAACATATCCTAAGCTGGTTTCTGCATCTGTATGGTCTCATTGTTTTTATGCAATATTGCATTTAATTGCTTAATTGTTATCTCGTTTTAAGTGCTTTAAATTCGTGTGCTTTCTGTGCTTAGATCAGTTATTTATTGATATAATTTTTCGCCGGATTTTACTATGTACGGGGTACGTATATTAATGTCCAATATTTATATTTGTGTTAATTGGAACTCATTTAACCAGTGTTTCATAGTTTCAGTACATTGAAATTACGCAATTCAAAAAATTTAGGGCCAGGCAAAAGCAAATACATGTAGTATATAATTTTTTTGGTTGCTCTTAGAAAATACGTCCTTTATAATATGATGTTTATTTCAGTATATAAGCGTTATTCTTTTTCTGAGTCCGATAATAATGGTAAGAGGCGAGCCTCCTGCCGTATATGGACCTCCAAATCCATCACACGGCACTTCAGGTGCCGGACATGGGAGTGGAGGAGGACACGGCGGATATGAAGAAGTAAGTCGATTTGAAAAGAACATTGACCAACTGGTTTTTTTTTACTTCATAATTAAGTAAATAGTTTTCTAGAAAATTCGTTCCTTCATGTTTTTCAAAAACTTTATTTCTCTTCCACCTCCTTCACTGGTAAGCTTGTAATGAGGAAAAACAGTTTGTTTTAAAGCTGATTGTTTTATCAGAAGGGATGTATGTTGAATGTTCAATGAACTGCTTAAATTTTGATAAAGGCCAGCAACGGTCATTTTTTTTGCCAAAAAAGATATGTTTAATTGTTGAAATTGATTGATTAATCCAGTGTTAGTGGCAAGAGTCTGGAAATTTAATTTCCGAGTGAATTTCGCAAAAAGATGCAATAAAAGAAATAAAAATTAAAAATCTTAGAAAAAATCTCAAAAATTTGCGAAAGATTATGCTCCCGCACGGTTTTGTTTACAGGCGGAATGCACATGCATTAGAAAACGAAAAAATGAAAAATGTAATATTGTAGCATTACTAAAAATTAAAGCAGTTAAAATGTTGGTGTGGAAAGTTTTTTAATAATTTTTCTATTTTCTAATTCAATTCGAGTGTCCCTCAAAAAATGTTCCATAATTTTTGGACACTCTGTTTATTGCCACTGGACCATAACATTATATTCTAGTTTTATTTGCCTACATCAGTTCTGGGTCATTAGTTAAAAATTATTTTTTGGAATGGTTAATATCGACTTCTACATTTGTTTCTGTCAAGTGTATCTACTTTTTAATTGGAATAATGTAATTGTTGAGCAATTCGTAATTTTTGTACTAAACAATTTTCGGTTCCTCGATATTTGAGAATGAGAAAAAGAGTTTATCTTCCCATCAAAATTATAAACAGAAAAAAATAAAAGAAATCGAAAATCAGAGCTTTCCAATGATATAAAACTACCAAAGACACACCTCAATCTGGGCACTTTCGGAACAATTTTAAATATTCGATGTTGGAAGGATCGGATTGGATGCGGGTGTGAACACACTGAAGAACCCCAATCGAAAGAGATATGGTTTGTAATAAAGTGTATTTTTATTTGAGTCAATTCTATTGAGAGTTTCCTAAAGTATGTGTTGGCCTGGTGAGATTCTAACTTTATGTAATTTAACTAAATGTAGCACTTTAAAAAAGCTGTTAATTTAATTGTATCAATTAAATTAAAAGTATCTGTTCCACATTTTAGCCTCAATCGTACGAGTTTGGATACAGAGTAAAAGATGACTACTCAGGATCAAGCTTTCATCAAAAGGAATCAAGTGATGGAAATCAAGTTCGAGGTGAATACCGAGTTGCACTTCCCGATGGAAGAACGCAAATTGTTACCTATTGGGCCGATTGGAAGACTGGATTTCATGCAGATGTAAAGTACGAAGGACAGGCAACTTATCCAGATAACGCCAAGAAATACATTCCACCTCCAGGTATACTTGAATAATTTATGATTAACTTGAAAGGATTATTATGCCTTGTTTATAGGTGCCAATGCTGGATACATGTATCCTAATCCAAGTGGTCAATATGGTGCTCCACACTAGTTTTATCAGCTCAACTGTAGTAACAATTTTATTAAAAAATAGATATATGTAGAATGGAGATTAAGATATTTAAACAGTTAAAAACTGTTAAATGATGAAAAAGCGGAAACAAAGAAAGGAAATGGACCTGAGATGGTAAACCCTTTAATACCTGAAAAAATATTGCGATTCTTGAGACCTTCAGTAAAATAATTTATAAATTTTACTTTGATTTTCTTGACTTTATACAGAGCATTGCTTCACGAAATTGTGAAGTAAATACGTTATGTGTAGCTATATTAGCAACGTGAAAAAAGAATGTGATTTTTATAATTTTCTCAAAAATATTGAATTGACTTTCCGCAGCAAAACGAATACACAATATTCATATTTAGTTTTTACTACGTTTTGCTTTAAGCTGATTCTAAGATGTTTAAACAGGAAGGTTCCTTCAGACAAATTTTAATCAACATCATAAATGTTAGGTTCTGTAAGGATTTTCGAAATGTGATTATTTTATTTAGAGCGTAACGCTTATTTTTCTAGATTATGGTTTTTGTGATAAGGTTGAGAATGTATTAGTCATATTTGCGCGTTTGTGCTTTAATAAACAAATTGCACTTTACTTTTTTTTGTTTTCTTTTAATGTCATCAAATAAAGCCAGGAAAGTGTTTAAAATATTATACAAAATAGCCAAGAGAAGACTTATTTATACGCATGAGTTAAGCATAAGATAAGATTTTAAAGATAAAACTATTTTTGTCAGACGAGAAGTTCATTAGTTTAGTGCTTTTGTGAATTTTGTGCAAAGCTCCAACCTCACAACAAGCTAAACAGCTTCGCCACTAAGTTTACAGCACCAGATGAAAAAATATTGAAAAAACAGACATAAACGAAATGCTTGGACAAAATCAGCAAATTTCCGCAAAGATAAATATAAACGCGCACAGTCTTTACTGTTTGTTTAAAAAAAAAACTCTTTTGAAACCTTATAACTTCAGATGCCAAAACTAAAAGAACATCAGAGTATTTTTCAATTAAAATTTGTCTTAGAAATGCGCGTCATGAATTTATCTACCATTCTAATTGTTTTATTTAACACTAATCAAAAAATGTTTCATCTTAATTAATTATCATTAGCTCTTTTGAGCATCAAATTCTAGACAGAAATGGTAACCAA